TGTGGTTTGTTTCTCCAGGTTTCATGTTTTGGAAGCTTGGTCCTTGGTGTGGTGATGTTAAGAGGTGGTGGGCCCTTTAAGAGGTGGGGCTTGGTGGGAGGTCTTTAGGTTATTGGGATCATTCAGTTCTACTGGAACCAGGGTTATTCTTGCTAGAGGGCTGTTACAAAAGAGCAGGCCTGGCCCTGCCTCAGTCTCTGGCTTCCTGTCTTACCGTGTGATTGCTCCCTCTCCCATTTGCTCTAGCCACGACCCCATCTGCCATGAGGTCCTCACCAGAGCTGAGCTCATACTGGTGTCATGGCCTTGAACCTCCAAATCTGTGAGCTAGGGCTGCAGATGTAGCTCAGTGGTAGAGAGCTTGCCTCGCATGCACTGGATCCTGGGTTTGACTCCCAGCACTGCAATAAAATAAAATAAAACTTTGGGCTAAATAAAACTCTTTTCTTGATAATTTATCTAGCCCTTGGTATTTAGTTATAGCAAAGGAAAATGGACTAATACACAGAGATAATAGATATCTATTGTTGTTGGTTTTTGTTTTTTTTTTTTTTTTTTTTTGATACTGAGGATTGAATTCAGAGGCACTTGACCACAGAGCAACATCCCCAGCCCTATTTTGCATTTTATCTAAAGAGAGGATCTCACTGAGTTGCTAAAGTGCCTTGCTTTGAACTTGTGATCCTTCTGCCTCAGCCTCCCAAGCTGCTGGGATTACAGGCATGTGCCACTGCACCCAACAAGATATGTATTGTTTTAAGCTGCTACATTTTGGGATAATTTGTTATGCAGTAATAGCTGACTGATACATCTGATAGGACTTATAAGTCAGGGAAAGACAATGTGCTTGGCTATCAAGGTGTACTTATTTGGTTCTTGCTCCCTTTATTCTAGCAAATGTATCTGCACACATTTCAGCCAAGAGGTTCAACTTAGTAGAACCATCCTAAAAATACTGGCCTTCTAAATTTATTTCACCCAAAATATATTATCTAGAATTTTTTTTTTCATGAGTACTAAACGACTGTTAGAAAGTCCCCTCTTTTCCAACAGCATCACCATCCCTATTGGCCACACAGACAGTGCTTGGTAGAAAAGAAAGAGCCAGGACTCCCTGAAACTTTTATGTCAGCTCCAAGAATTCTGTCTTGAAAAGTAGCAACAGGATGTGTGTCAGCCCTGCTGCGACTGAATGTGTTGGAAACTTTGTCTCCTCGACGACAGTGTGGAGAGATGAGACCTCCAGGGGCCCATGAGCCCTCGAGGACTCAATGCTCACACATGGATTAAGGCCAGGACCAGAGCGAATTCCTTACAAAATGATGGATATGGTGTCTTCCCTCTTGTTCTCCCCCAAAATGATGCCTTGTGCCATGCCGTGACATGGCAGGTAGCCTGTCACCAGCTGCCAGCCCCTTGATTTTGGAGTTCCCCGTCTCTAGAACTGTGAGAAATAAACTTCTTTATAAATTTCCCAGTCTCAAGCATTTCGTTGCAGCAACACAAAAAACCACCAAGACAGGTCCTTGTTGGACTGATCAGCCTCCTTCGGGATGGCGTCGGAGCACAGAGGACCCCGGTTCTGTTCGGCCACTTTCAGATGTTATATGTAGAAGTAAAGGAGAGATGGCAGAGGGGACCCCGTGTCCAACGCCTGGAGCAACCGCCTGCAATTCCTCCTCTACCACCGAGCTCCACCCCAGCCCTCAAAGGCCCTTTATTTTATTTATTTATTTGTGGTGCTGAGGATCAAACCCAGGGCCTCACACACGCCAGGCGAGCGCGCTGTCACTGAGCCACAACCGCAGCCCCTCAAACTCTTCTTAAGCACAAAGAGTGTGGGCAAATCTTCCCAGGCCTTTTTTTCTTTTTCTTTTCCTTCCTTCCTTCCTTCCTTCCTTCCTTCCTTCCTTCCTCCCTCCCTCCCTCCCTTCCTTCCTTCCTAGGAGAGGAGAACCCGGGATGGAACTCAGGGGCACTCGACCCCTGAGCCCCAGCCCCATTTTGTATTTTCTTCAGAGACAGAATCTCACTGAGTTGCTTAGAGCCTCGCGATCCTCCTGCCTCAGCCTCCAGGATTACTGTCGTGCGCCCCGCGCCGGCTCCTTTTTGCTCCTGGATAAAGGCCACTCAGCTGGAGCAGGTTGGCTGCGCCTCTCCAAATTCATGGGTACGTGATGCAGGTTGCTGAAGGCAGGTACCCGTGACCCTGTCGGGGCCTCCTGAGACCACAGCGGTGGGTCCCCCTGGGACACAGGAGGGTGAAAGCAGCCCTCAGCCAAACCTGATGGGAATCCAGTGGACACCGCAGCCCAGCGCCGTGGGGTGGCAGCTCGGTGCCTCCCCGAGGTCTGACGCCGACACAGCCCAGCGCTGTCCGCTCCCTGGCGCCCCCTGCAGGGCTCCTGTGGTCTTCTCCCAGATGACGGTACCCCCGCAGTCATCTGGTTCTGATGACCCCAAACCAAGGCAGCATTTTTTTTTGAGTACTGGCGATTGAGGGCGCTCTACCACTGAGCTGCGTCCCCAGTTCGTTTTATTTTATCTTGAGACAGGTTCTTGTTAAGTTGAGGGTGTCGCTAAGTGGCCCAGGCTGGCCTCAAATCCCCGCTCCTCCTGCCTCGGCCTCCCGAGTGGCTGGGATTACAGGAGCAGCGACCGCGCCCAGCAGGCGACCTCTTTGACAGGTAGCCCACTCCCCCCAACACCAAGGAGCGTGCTGACAGCCGCTTGTGTTGGTGAGGAGTGGAATGAACCCAGCGATACTGTTCCTTCCATGTCACCTGACTGTGCTGGGGTGGGGGTGGGGGGGTGGTTCCTCTATTTTATAAGAAAGAAAACTAGGGTGTGGGTCACCCGGCTGCTCCCCGTGGCAGGTCCCCGTTCCTGGAATGTTCTGCGTTCTCCTGCCAAACCCTGATCAGGTGCCTCCCAGACTCAAGTGCTGGCTCTGGCCCCATGCCTGTCCCTCCCTGCTTGATGGTGCCTGAGATGGGAAGAGGCCCGGCCCCCTCCCCTTCCAGGGGGATGCAGCGGGAGGCAGTTCCAGCTGGGCCCGTGGACACCTGCCAGGCGGCCTGTGGAGCCCTGCAGAGTGTTCAGGGCTCAAGTTGAAGGTCTCATGAGGACATGAAGGGACAGATGAGGTGAGACGGAGAGGCGCCCAGGGTGCAACGTTCATGGAGACCTAGCTTCACACTCTGGGGCCCACCCCGGGAGCTCAGGGGCCTCCTTCAATGCTATTTTAAACTTCAGGTGAAATTCACATAACATTTAACTAACTTTTTTTTAAAGTACCTCATCCCCACCCCCTTTTTCTTTTCTTTTTAATTTTCAATTTTGACTCAGGGTCTCACTAAGTTACCCAGAACCTCACTAAATTGCTGAACTGGCCTCAGACCACAATCCTCCTGCCTCAGCCTCCCAAATGGTTTTTGGTTACAGGTGAGCGCCACTGCGCCTGCGCACCATTTTTTCAATGTGCTCCTTGTACTTGATGTTTACCATGCCGTCCCAAGTCTGTCCCTGCTGGGGCCCCTGTGTCAGGCGCCATTCTGGCTGCTCAAGGACAAACCTTTCTGTCCCATCTGCAGGCGTGAGGAGGCCTGGGCTGCTTCTCCCGGGCTCCACGGGGGAGTGGGCTGGGCTGATGGCCACCTGGGTCTGGGGGCATCTGACCGGCCACGTGGGGTCCCTGCCCAGAGTCAGGCTCAGGGCTCAGCTTCCCTGCTGGGGGCTGTCACCTCTTTGCCCGACTCCCTACCTCGGCCCTGGAGTCCCTGGGTGGCCCAGGGAGGGACAGGCTGTAAGCCTCCTGGGGACATATGTCCATTTGGGGTAGAGGTGGGGCCAGCCAGGGCACTCCCAGGGAGACTCACATGTGGGAAGATGGGCAGGACTTGGGGTCCCAGGCTGGGGCCCCAGGAGGTACCCTGCCCACTGCTCCTGCCCACCCCTCCGTCACCCTGGCCCACCACGGGCCTGGGCTTGGCCACAGGGACATTTGGACATTGATTAAATGACACAGAGATGGTGAGCTCTGGGGTTTATTTAGGATGTGCAAGATGGTGGAGGGTGGGGGACCCCGGTCCCTGTCCTGGTGCACACCGAGCTCCATCAGGTCCATAAGCCACTTCGCCTCCTCACGGGCCATTTCCGGCCACCAGGCACACCGACCCCCAGCAACACAGAAATGGTTGTGTGTGCTGAGGACCTACTGTGCGCAGGCCCCAGCCGGTTCGTATGAACTTGTGGGTCTCTTGGCAGCCTGAAGAGCAGGGTCACCTCCAGTCCCATTTTACAGGCAGGGAAACTGAGGCACAGAGCAGACTGGCCCGCAGCCAGGCACGTGGGTCCAGCCTCCGGGTCTGCACCTGGCTGTGGGCTGCTTGGCACACATGGGTTTCAGACATTCACAGCCCCAGCGGGTGTGGGGGGGCGTCGTGCGGGGTCTGAGACTTGCACCATCTGTCAGCAACATGGGGCTTACGAGACCCAGGGGCAAATCCTGGCTCTGATGCTCAGAACTGGGACCTCTGGTGAGTCACTGCCCCTCTTGGGGCCTCGATTTCCTCATCTGTAAAATGGATGGAGACACTTAGAGAATCACTGCCTAAGCCCCAGCCTCCCCTCCTACCTGGAACAGAACTTCATTCATTCTGGGCAACCAGATTTCCCAGCCTCCCTGCATGGAGATCTGGTCTTGGGACTCTGTTCTGGCTAGTGAGAGGTAAGCAGAAGGGCCCCAAAGCCTCATAGGCAGACCTTCAGGAGACTCTGAGCCAGCCTTGGACTTTGACTTTCCCTCCTTGTGGGGAGATAAAGGCTGGAGCCCTGGCAGCTATTTTGTACCATGAGGCAATCTTAAAGACCATAACCAGGGATGATGTAAACTGTAAGAGAAATGAAGTCTTACTGCTACTGCAGCTGAGCCTGGACCTATCTCTATGATAGCTGCTTCTTGCTACCTTACACCAGTTATCTATTCCTGATTCTCAGGTTCACACCAGCGTTGAGTCCTTTCCTGTGGCCCTTGGTCTGTGGCCCAGCATGCTCTGCATCTCTTGAGTGACCCCCTCCCAGGGCCCCATGCCAGTCGACAGTGTCCGGTGCACGCGGGGTGTAGGCAGGCTGCTCTCCCGGCCTCCCCCCAGGGATTTGGGTGCTGTGGCAGTGGCCATGGTCCTAAGGGGGTCCCCAAGCTCCAGGCAGAATGAATATGGGGTCCGACGGTGGATACCATGCTGGGGCTGAGCCCTGGGGCTGTCCTTGGAGGCTTCGGCAGGGCGTGCAGAATTATCTTCAAAGGACGGTGGGGACAGTTCACGGAGACCATGGTGGGTGGCCCGGGCAGCCCGGAGCAGGGTGTGGGTCAGAATGGCCACCAGAACCAGGGCACCGGAGCCCAGGATGGAGGCAGCCGCGGCGCCTGTCTCAATCTCGAAAAGCAGCAGGGCATAGATGGACAGCGCTAGGGAAGGAAATGGCTCTCAGTTAACACAGGTCTGTTCTCCAAGCCCTCAGGGACTCCCCCCAGATGCGGAGTGACAATAGAAAACCCTGCAACAGCGGGTGTGGTGGCACACACCTGTAATCCCAGCCACTTGGGAGGCTGGGAAATGAGGATCATAAATTCAAGGCCTGCCTCTTCAATTTAGGGAGGCCCTAATGGCCAGAGAGTTGCTCTCCCTTGTTACAGTGATTAGTGGAGGGAAATCACGTGACTTCAGCACAGCCTATCAGAGTCAGCCCTGGGACTTTTGCTTGGCCTATAGGGAAACAGGGATTTTCTTCCCGCAGTGGCAGGGGTATGGGTAGGAGAGAAACCCAAGGCGGCTGGGGGACTCTGTGGCACTTTCTGGGCTGTTTCTGTTTCCTCTGACTCTGCCCTCTTTTTTTTTTTTTTTTTTTTACTAGGAATTGAACTCAGGGGCACTCACTGAGCCACACCCCAGCCCCATTTTGCATTTTATTTAGAGACAGGGTCTCACTGAGTTGCTTAGTGCCTCGCTAAGTTGCTGAGGCTGGCTTTGAACTCGCTATCTGCCTCAGCCTCCTGAGCTGCTGGGATTACAGGCATGGGCCACCGCGCCTGGCTGCACTCTTCCTTTTGAAGATGCCACCGTGCATCATGCCTGATGTATTAAAATGGGGCCAAGGACTTTCTTTGTGCTAAACATTTTGAAAGGGTTTGTTATGATTCTTCTTTTTGGCTCCGGGGAACAGTGGGTGGGTGATTGGCTGGACGTGCTTGTGAATTCTTGCTGAATGAGGTCACCTAACCTCTAAAGGAGTCTAAATGGGAGGTGACTGAATTCTCAATTTAACGCTTAATGAATCGGACATAATGACTTTCTTCTTCTCTCTGTGATTTTCTTGTATTTTAGAATGAGGATGTGAGGATATATTTTTCCTCAATATTTTTGACCTCAGTATTTTTGTCAGCCCATGAAAAGCCTGAGGTTGGAGGTACTGTCCCAAGTGCTCACAGCCCATCATTCTCAGAGAAGTACACTCAGCTGACACAGAGGAAAGTTGAGGCTAGAGGCATTTCACACAGCCTCACTTGAGCACCTGGATCCAGCCGCACTTGAAGCCAACTACCCCTGAGAATTTCAAATACATGAGACACTAATTCCACTTTCCTTTTTAAAAATCCCACATCTAGAACTTTTTATTAAGTCAAGCAACAATCTACCTACAAATTTCCACATTGAACCCTAGGTTTATATTTCATAAAAAATACTTTAAATCCATCATTTTTATCTTCTATTTTTCTATTGTGGGACTAAGAAAATAATAATAGCTTCCATAAACATGTTCCATGTTTATTAATTACAAATAAACCACTTACAATAGATTTATAAAAACTATTGGGGAAGGGCTGGGGATATAGCTCAGTTGGTAGAGTGCTTGCCTCACATGCACAAGGCCCTGGGTTCAATCCTCAGCACCACAGGGGAAAAAAAAAAAACCTATTGGGGAAAAACATCGTTTAATCATAAAAAATAAAAGTAAATAAAGTCGTCAGTAATGGCTAATCCCTTGTCTTTCATGAATCTGATTAGTTTTCCTTCCAATAAAACAGGTGCTTCTAGAGAAGGCAGGGGCCTAGGTGTTGATTCTACATTGACATGTTTTTTTTTTTTCAAGCTTAAAATATAAGATACAAAGTGTCTTTTTTAAAACACTTTTTGGAGTTGTAGATGGACAGCAGGCCTTTATTTGTGTCATTTTTATGTGGTGCTCAGGATCCTACCCAGGGCCTCACACATGCTAAGCAAGTGCCCTGCCCCTGAGCCCCAGCCCCACAAGTGTCCATTTAGGAGGGTGCTGTGGTGCACACCTGATGCCTCAGCAACTTGGGAGGCTGAGGCAGGAGAATTGCAAGTTGGAGGCCAGCCTCAGCAACTTAGTGAGGTCTTGTCTCAAAAATAAAATAAAATGGTTCAACCCCCAGTACAAACAACAACAACAAAATGAAAAAATAAAAAACACCCAGGCCAAGAAAACTTGTTCAAACAGAACATAAAACTGGTGAGAAGGGCTGGGCTGGGCTCAGGGGCAGAGCACTCGCCTGGCACGTGTGAGGCTCTGGGTTCCACCCTCAGCACCACATAAAAGTAAATAAAATAAAGGTCCATCGATAACTAAAAAATATTAAAACAAACAAAACTGATGAGGAGCTAATCTGCTGACAGCCACTGTCTGGAGACCCTCTGGGTCCGAGGCTGTCCGTGAACTTTGATGGGTATTTACCTGGAGTCCCCTGAGCAACTCCACGAGGCCTGGGTGGAAATGGCTGCCACTGCATGACAGGGGACCAGGCACACAGAGGATCTGCCCCAGGCCCCGGAGGGGGACACGTCAGAGCCGGGAGCTGGACCCGCGCAGGCTGGCTCGAGAGCTGCCTCAGGTCCCCCCACCCAAGCCCAGGTGCCATCCCCGAGTGCTGGCCCCGCACACACCTGCCAGGTAGACGGAGACCCCACAGCAGAAGAGGCCAAGGGCCACGTGCCGGAGGTGGCGGCAGTCGTAGAGAAACCAGTCGGACCTGGGGAGGGGGACCAAGAGAAGGCGTCGGGAGGCGGAGCTGGCTGCAGGGGCCATGGGGACAGGGAGGGAGAGGGGCCTAAATGATGGCAGGGCCCAGCTTTTGGGGAAGAGGGATCCAAGTGGGGCCCCTGCCACCATCATCTGGCCACCCTCCTTCCACCTAGGGCCCTTCACTGTCCACTGTCCATCCATCCGACCAGCCACCTGTGAACCGCCACTCACCAGCCACCCACCACCACCCGGCATCGTCCACCCATCAGCCCCCCGTCCACCATTCACATATGGACCCCTCAGCCCGTCTGCTCCCCTCCGTCCACCCGGCAAGAAGTTTCTATCTGCTTAAATCGACCAGATTGTGCCCCCAAACCCAGACTCCTCTCCTCCACTCACCTCGGTCACCTGCTTCCCCCATCCGCCCTCCACCCAGCCAGTCACCCATTTCCAATCCAGCTGCCGCCCGCTCACTGTCCAACCCCGTCAGCTATTCAACCCTCACCCCCCGCAGCCATCCGCCCTGGACCCGCGCCCTGGTGACCATCGCCCACTAAGCAGCACCCCTCTGTCCACGCCTCACCTACCATCCACTGATCACTCATCTCCCGCCCACCGTCCATCCACCTCCATCTGTCCACCAAATCCACCCACTGCCCACTCCCCGCCTGTCCATCCTCCCCCTGGGTCCACCCACCTACTTCCCTGCCTCCATTATCTGACAGACCACAAATCCACTTTGGAGGTGAGGAAAATGAGGTTCCCTTGTCACAAGTGGTGACAGGGACGGCAACCTAGTGAAGGTAGGGCAGTCCCTAAGCTCTCCTTGCTCACCTCCCACGGGACACCTAAGGGGCCTCCTTCTGGTTTTCCCTGCCACCCCCCTCCCACCTCCCTCGAGGCCACAGGGAAGTACTCCAAATCTGCGTCACATTGTCAGCTCCTCACTCACAACCCTCCTGAGTCCTTGTCACAGGGCTGGGGCCCACTGGTCCAGTCCCTCAGACTCCCGCCCTCATCTCCCTGCGTCTCACCACACCAACCTCTGCCACCTCCCCCCATACACCGATCACTCGGGCCCCAGGGCACTGGCACATGCTGCTCCTTCTGTTTGGATCACAGTCCCCCGATCTTCTGCTTCCTTCCCTCCAACAAGTTTCAGTTCAGGCCTCCCCTGACCATCCTATGTCACCCCTACTTTGTCCCCTTCCATCCCATCACCCCATTTCCTTCCTTCCTAGCATCCACCCCATCTGACGTCATAGATCTCTTGTGCTTCTTTATTTTCAGATGGTGAGTCCGTGAGTGGCTGTCTGGGGCCATTTAGTCCCTGCTCTGTCCAGGTGTTCAGAGTCAGCCCCTGCCACCTGCAGGTGCCACAGACATATTTGGGGACGAGGGGACACATGCATGTGGGTGTCCCTTGGGTGAAGGGTGCATGCTATGGGCAGGATCTACCCTAAAGATAGAAGTTTGCATCTGCTTGAATCAACCAGATTGTGCCCCGAAACCCAGACTCCTCCAGCGTCTGGGAGGGAGACACAGGAGTCTCGGTCCTCGGCCCACGGAAGTTTCCTTCGCTGCCTCTGATAGACGCCCCCTCATCCCCCGCATCTCTGAGCTCGATTCCTAGGGAACCCCCACCCCAGGCTAGAACGCAGGTTCAGGTTCAAGTCCAGCCCACCCTCTTCCCAGCCAGAGGCCTGGAGAGAGCAGCCCCCGCTGCCTGAGGCGCAGTTAAAAGTGGGATGACAGCAGCAGTCCCAGGGGAGGACGGGCCTTCCCGGAGCTGACCACAGCAGCGGGAGGCGGGCAGGGCTCGGGCCGGATAAACGACAAACGCGACGGACACCGGAGCTCGCGTCCTCCTACCTGCCAGGGCTGGGTCCTCGCGCCAGCTCCGCGCCCAGGTGGCCACAGAGCGCCGCGAGGAGCAGGCAGGTGAGGCCGAGCACCAGGGCGAGCGCGGCCAGCGCGGCGGCCAGCGGCAGCAGCGCCCCGGCCGCGTCCTCGGGCAGCCCCGGGCCGGTGCCCAGCTCCGGGCCCAGCACGTCGGCGCGCGGCCCCCGCAGCTCAGCGCGTCCCGCCTGCAGCTGGAACAGCAGCTGCGCGGCCAGGGCCGCCAGCACCGCCGCGGGAATGCCCAGCAGGGTCATCGCGGCCAGCACCCGGCCGCCGTACGACCGGGCCATGGCAGGGGTCTTGCGGGGCCGGGAGACAGTCAAGGAAGCAAGAAGCTTTAGAACGCAGAGGAGCTGGGGCAGTCCTCGGGCTCCCGGAGGGTCCCCAAGGGACGCGACATCAGGAGGTGCCTGAAGCTTCTGGGGCTGGATTGGGGGCCGTCTAGGGGTCGCCAGACTGAGGACCCGGGGTATCGACAGCTGCTGGGACGCTGAAGTCCCCGAAAACTTGGGATGAAGCCTTTTCTTCTCTCTGCGGGACCCGCGGGCGCCCCCTCCTGGTCCGCGGGGCGGGGCCTGGAGCTGGGAGGGGGCGGGGCCTGGAGCGGGGCGGGGCGCAGGCCCCAAGAGGTGCAGGGGCACAAAGCCTGGATCTAGGGAACCCAGAGCTCGCTGAGCTCCTAAAGGAGCAGTGCCTGCGGCCTAAACACCGACTCTATTGTTCTCTTTCTCTCTCTCTCTCAAGATGTTTGAAGACGGGCACCGTGATACACGCCTGTAATGCCAGCGGCTCAGGAGGCTGAGACAGGAGATGGAGAGTTCAAAGCCAGCCTCAGCAACTTAGCGAGCCTAAGCAACTCAGAGAGACCCTGTTTCTAAATAAGATATAAAAGTGGGGGTTGCTTAGTGGTTAAGTCCCTGGGTTCAATCTCCAGTACTGAGGAGGAAGAGGAAGAGGAGGAGGAAGAGGAGGAGGAGAAGCTGGGTGTGGTGGGGCATGCCTGTAATCCTAGTAAGGGGGGAGGCTTAGGTAGGAGGATCGCAAGTAAAAAATAATAAGGACTGGGGCTGTAGCTCAGTGGTAAAGTACTCCTAGGTTCAATCCCCAGTATAGGAGAAGGAAAAGGAGGGGGGGGGAGGGGAGGAGGAGGAGGAAGAAGAGGAAGAGGAGGGGAAAGATAAAGGGGAAAAAGATGTTTGAATAAAATTTTAAATAACTCACCCTTTTTTTTAAAAAAAAAAAAGATATCTTTCTTTCTTTATTTTTTTAAATGTGGTGCTGAGGATCGATCCCAGTACCTCACAAGTGGGAGCAAGCGCTCTGCCGCTGAGCTGTAACCCCAGCCCCAAATAATTCTCACTTTTGTCGCTGAACCCATAGGCCTGTAATTGGCTATGGTTCCCCCTCCCTCCTTTCCTCCATCACCTTCAAGGCTTTGAGGAAATGTTCTCTCCTCCAGGAGACCCTCCTGAATTCCTTCCCCAGCCTACACACCATGTTCTTCCACTATTAATTTTTAAAAGTTGAGGTGAAACTTAAGCCATTTTATTGAGCAGTTGTTATTACCTTCACAATGTTGTCCATTCATTCTGCCTCATCTTTAAACAATTTAATCACCCCAAAGAGACCCCTATCCCATTAGCTCTTGCTCCCCATTCCCCTCCCCCAGGCCCTGGCACTCTGTAATCTACTTCCTGTCTCCGTGAATTCTCCTGTTCTGGACATTCCATATCAATGGGATCATACACTACGTGGCCTTTTGTGTCTGGCTTCTGTCAGTCAACATCTTTTCGAAGTTCATCCACATTGTAGTGGGTGTCAGTGCTTCATTCCTTTTGATGGATGAGTAATATTCCATTGTGTACTTTTGCTTTTTCATCTTGGGTGGTCTCCACCTTTTGGAAAATGTGAATCTACTGCTATGAATGTGCATCTACAAGTATTCAGGAACCCCTGGAGTGGAATTGTAGGGTTGATGATAACTCCATTTTAACCTTTGGTGGACTCACCCAACTGTTTTCCACCCCTCCCCCCAGCAATGTGGAGAGATTTTCCTCTCTTTCCTGCACACACCAATACTTGCTATTTCCTTCTTTTTGAAATTGATAATAGCCATCCTGGGGGATGGGCAGTGGTACCACATTGTGGCTTTGATCTGCATTTCCCTAATGAGTCCTGAGTCAAGCTCTTCACATCCTTGTTGAGTATCTTCGTTGGAGAAATGTCTATTCAAGTCCTTGGCCCTTTTTAAGGGCGGCTAACTTTTTGTTGTTGAGTTGAAGGAGTTCTGTAGGCAGCCTGGGCAGTGAACCCTCCTCAGCTATATGTCTTGCAACTCTTATACCCTGTTCCCCCACAGCACCCAGCTCCTGTGGTGCAGTGGCTATTTCCTGGCCCACATCCAGACCTTGCAATAGCCCTGAACATTGCCTTGCTCTCCAGAGGAGGAAACGGAAGCCCAGAGAGGTACTGAGACTTCCCAGCAGAGCCGAATTTCAATCCAGCACCTCACCTCCCACCCACTGCTCTCTACTACTTCCCAGATGCACCAGCGATTTCACTGGCTTTGTATTTCCAGTTACTTTTCCAATTGATGAAGCCAACTTTTTTTTTTTTCAAATTTCAAATTTACTTGAAATTGAATGCATTCTGCTGTCATGTATAACAAATTAGAGTAAATTAATAAATTTTTAAAAATTAATTGAAAAATAATATTTTTGTGTGCCCCGAGTCCTCACCTTAGTCCTTAATAGGTAAAATGGCTCTGGGGGAGCCTAGGGCTGACTCCTCATCCCCAGGTGGCATTCTTTTTTTTGCTGTGTGGCTTTGGGCTAGTCCCTTAACCTCTCTGGGCCTCCTCATCTTGCATAGGTTACAACTACTGATTCATTCATTCATTCACCCAGCTTCAACCAACACACTTTTCCTTGTTTTATAGGTGGGGTAGCTGAGGTTCAGCAATTCATTCAGATCAGCATCCCTGTTCTTTTCCAGGACTTAAGATACAGAGATGTAAAATACCTGTATTTGTTCATTTGACGAATAGTAATGGTACAACCACCTTGTGCCCAGCTTGGGAGGCTCGTGGTGACCAAGACAAGCTTTTTCTTCTGGGGCTCACAGCCTGGAGGAGGAGGTGGAAGCATACAAGAAACCTACAAGTAAAGGGACAATTTCCTAATCTGGCGAAGGGACATTATCTGAGCTGTTTTAGGTTCATCATTATTTGTTGGGGGGTTGCACGCACCCAGATACCCTGGCCCGGCCCCACCCCTTGTGTGGGGGCGACTCCTCAGTTTATGGTGTCTGCATTCAATCTGGAAAGTGGAGCCTGCAAGTGAGCCCCACGGAGGATGATCTCATTCACCTTGGCCTTGGGTCAAACCCCTCTGGCCCCCGCGGACCGGTCGGAGACGGGGCCGCAGTTGGCTGGGATGGTTAGCAACCTTGCTGACGGGCTGCGTGCCCCGCGGTAGGTTCAAGAAGGTTTAAAATCAGCCACCTGGGATTAGAGTTTAAGAGCCGCTATCTCACAAGCTCCAACACGCCCATTTCTCAGAAATGGCCATTTCCCAGAGTTGCCCACTGAGGTCCAGAGAGGGAAAGCTGCGTCAACACCTTTTAGGGAAACTGGGTGCGGAGGGCGTGGCTTACACGCATTTATTTGCATTTTGGCTCCGCCCCAAGACGCGCCGCTCCATTCCGCCGCCAGAGGGCGCCGCAGGAAAAGCATTCCGAGCGCGGAGCGAACCCCTTTCTGCTTTCTTGGCAGATCCACCTGGAAGGACTGGCCTTTTGCTATTTTCTGGAGGAAAGAAATGGGGCTTGGAGAAGGAAGGTGACTGTCCCACAGTCACGAAGTCCAGAAGTGGGTCTAGACCGGAGGTTTTTATTCCTATATTCTACTCTCTCCCTCGGGGATCCCCGGGGTGAAGACCTGGGAGACTCTTGGCCCTCTGTGGCGGTCACTGGCCCCAGCGTCCATGGCGCCAAATAGGGAAATGCATCCCCGTAAAATAAAAAGAAATCTTTTAAAAGCTTGAATATGAAATATGTGGACAAATTGCCGGAGTCCGGCTGCAGCAGAATAAGGGGGGGGGGGTGTGTGTGACGAATAACTTGTGTTCGTTGATACAGCAGGAGAGGGAGCCATTTATTGCAGGACAGGAGCAGTATTTATACATTCCATACAGCTTATCTAATTAACATAAACTAGATACATCAGTCAACCAATAAGGAATCTCCACACTTAATGGCTCGCTTTTGTTACTTCTCAAACCACTCCCTCTGGCATTTTGCCAGGCACCATCCAGACTTGTTTACCAACTCTAACAACAAATGGTTTAATGCACCATGGGCTTAGCGTTCTCAGCACGTTTTTTTAATTTAGTTTGCATTTTCCCATTTGGGGACCAGGTCTCGAAAAATATTCTAGAATCAGGTCTCAAAAATATTTCTTGGTACTTTAAAGCTCTGCCTGCTTCCCGGGAGGCCCAGAGAAGCCCCAGTGGACGAGGACAGGCCCTGGGCCCGCGCTGAGTGCGCAGAGGTGTCTGAATGGAGACTCCCTCGCCACCTGCCCCAACCTTGGTCCCAGTCTGTCCCCACGGCGGTGGGGTAGGGACCGGAACCGGCTCCCGGGACCCCGCCGTTCCTCTCTGGGGATCCAATCCCCGGGCGGGGGCGGGGGGATGGGGACGGGGAGGAGCCCCTGGGGGTGGAGCTCAGGGCAGACCCCTCCGCTTCCCCGCCCCTCTCCGTCGGCGGCTCGGGTCACCGGAGCTCAGAGCAGCCTTCCTTCCCCGGGGGCGGTGGCGGGTTGGCCGGGGGTGGGGGGACCGGGACGGAGGAGCGCAGCGGTCCCAAGCTCGGCCCGCCTCCTCCCACCGGGGTTCAATACTCCGCGGGAGGCTGGGGCAGAGGCCGGTCCCCTCCCCTGCACCTTGGGGGACACCTCGTCCGGGAGCAGAGGCTCCCCAGGCCTCCTCCGCAGGCTCAGAAGGGGGCCCTGCCCTCCGGGCCGCGCCCGCCCCGCGTCTCCTTGTCCACTCGGTACTTGCGGCGGCGCAGCGGCTCCACGAGGCTCCGCGGCGCCGGGTCGTCCAGGTCCTCGGGGAGCAGAAAGTTGCGGTCCAGCACTTCGGCCGCCTCTTGCCAGTTGGCGAAGCAAGCTGGGCCCAGGCGCTGGATCTCATCCGTCGCGTCGCGAGTGAGCACGTCCCCGCCCGGCTTCAGCACCACGACCGTGGGCAGGTGCTCCACCGAGAACTGGCGCCCGAGGTCCCTGCGGGGAGGGCCGGCCAATTCGTGATCCTGGGGCACCGATCTCAGACCGCGGCACGTTGAGCCCCATCCCATCGCAGCCCCTCCCTTAAGTCCCTGCTGGGTCGCGTTTCTGTTTTTCTTCCTGGATCCGCTCAGCATACCACATACTGTACAGTCTGTTTCTCCTGCTTATCATTTTCTCCCACAGTGAATTTGTAGATCCACAAGGGCATGGATTTGCCTCCTTACGCTAGTATCGTCTGTGCCTGAAACAACGCAAGGCGGAGTAATGCCCAGGGAATGTGTTGTGGGGCGAAAGAATGAATGAATGCATGCCATAAGGAATATCAAGTCGGGTAGGGGCTACCAATTAGCGAGGGCCACTTCAAGAAGGTGACCTTTGATCTGAAATCTGCAGGACGAAGAGAGGGAGAACTGAGATGAGGGTGCCCAGGTAGAGGATGCAGCATGTGCAAGGGCCTGGAGGTGGCAGGGTAACTGAGCCGGAAAGCCCTGGAGGAGCACGGTAAGAAGTTTTGATTACGTTCTAAGTGTTAGGGAGAAAGTCAACGAGAAGCTGTGTGCACCCGGGGTTGACCCTGCACCAAACTCGGTGTCTAGGCCAGACCCGTCAGGGAAGAGCTGGGCTGCCAGACTGGGCCCATCACCCACAGTTGTTAATTTTAATCTGATGCTTTCTTGGGTGGTCCTTTCCCAGGCCCACACCCAGGGAACACGTGGTACCTGCAAAATCCCATGGGAGCAAAATAGCATATTTAGCAGTTAAAGATCTAGGACCCCCTTCCCCCAGCCAAATCTGAATTTCAGAAAAACAAAGAAAACTCTTAGTATAAGAATGTACCCCAAATCACATGAGACATAGATACCAAAAACATTATTTGTTGTGTATCTGAAATTTGAATTGAGCCGGACAGTGTGTACCTTAGCTGGCCACTTTCAAGGAGGGTGGTGGGGAAAACCTCATCCCAAATAGAAGGTGTCATCTGAGATGCGCTTGGGACTCGTGTTTCTTCCCTAGGGACAGAAATTTGGCCTGCTTTGGAGGAAAAAACTCCCTATTTGCCAGAGGGCAGCAGGATTGGGCAAATGTCCCAACTTTGATAACAAGGAGCGGGAAGGAAGCGCTCCATGACCACAGACCTTCCACTTGGGCACCAAAATGAATGAAATTGGTAAAATGTCAGGAGGTCGGTGACTCACTGTCAAATGGTTCATCACCCCCCCACACACCCACACACAGATCCACACACTCACACACATACAGAAAAATGCCACAATTGCTGTGGACTTCATTATACACTTCTTTCAAGTTTTTGCTGAGTTGGATTTTTTTTTTTTTTTTTTTTAATGTTGGGGATGGAACCCAGGTTCTCATATGCTAGGTGATCACTCTGCCCCTGAGCAACACATTCAGGTCCTGAATTTTTTTTCTTTCATGAGAAAAAGAAAGGGCTCCTCCCTAGCACTGCAAAAAAAAAAAAAAAAAAAAAAAAAAAGTTGGGGTTAAAAAAGAATGAAATAGCTGGGCGTAGTGGTGCATGCCTGTAATCCCAGCCACTTGGGAGGCTGAGGCTGGAGGATCACAAGTTCAAGCCCAGTCTCTGCAACTTAGTGAGGCCCTGTGTCCACATAAAAACTAAAAAGGTCTGGGGATGTAGCTTAATGGTAGAGGGGTCCTAGGTTCAATTCCCAGTACCAAAAAAATAAAATAAAATAAAAAATGAAAGTACCTCTCATTGCAGAAAAGGAGCAAGTTCTAAAATAGCCACTACTGGGGCTCTCCTTGCAAAGCTTGAATCAGCTCCCTCTCCCGAGTTCTCACACCCTGCAAGGCTCCCAGCCACTGAGGTCTATCCATCCTTCAGAGGGCTCTACTCCACCCACCTCTCACACGGGGAATGACTCAGCCTCCCTGAACTGAACTGGCTGTCCTTTCTCCTGGCTTTATGTCTGTGCTGGGCCCTCTGCCTGCAAAGCCTGCTTTTGGGACCGTGCCCACCATCCTCTTACATGCCTGGGGATATTTTTAAAGACACTTCCTCCAATGCATTCTCTGACTCCTGGATTTCAGTGAGGTTTCCATTGCATTTCCACTAGGGGGCCTCCCTTTGTCCTCCAGAACGCTCCTGCAATTTGTCATTTTGTATCGATCTGAGTCTTTGTTTCACATCTGATTTCCCCACTTCACCGCCAGCTCCCGGGGTGCGATGGGAGTGGGAATGGACACCACTTTCTGTACCCCTAATTTCTAGGGCACGGATTGGCACACGGGGCTGTTCACTCCCCCAGGGAGAAGGGACAAATCACTAAGCAAATGCCTCAGTTCTGATGGTGATGCCTCCTCCAGGAAGCCCTCCCAGACCTTCCTGTCCCGCCTTACCTCCTCAGATCATCCTCGAAGGGCAGGAAGAGCCACTTCTTGGGCATGTCCTTGAGGAACAGCTCCTGCTGCTCTTCTGTGGGATCCTGCGACACGTACACCAGGGCCAGCTGGGCCGCCCGCAGCACATAGAACTCATCTGTGAGCCTCACAAAGAAGTCCTTGAGGATGGGCACGAAGGCCTGACACTTGGGACAAGCCGCGGCGCCAAAGAACAGCAGCACCAGACGGTTCTCCAGCCTGCGGCTGACCTCAGCCTCGGTGTCCAGCTCATCCTGGTCACTGTTATTGCAGATCAGAACGCGCCCAGAGAACAGGGAGACCATGGTAGCCCCAACTGGGTGCTGGGGACAGGGAGAGAGATCCTCACGTGGTGTGGCCTGGACCTGCTGTCTGGTTCCTCTCCCAGGAATAGAGATCTCTAGGAAGCCAGTTTAGGACCTCGCTAATCTGCTCAATCTTGACCTAGTTCTGCAGGGCCTCCAAGGGCAGGGGTTGGTGAGGGGAGAGCGCCCTCGTGTGCCTGAAAACACATTGCAGAAAAACTAAACTGGGGTGTGGGGGTGTAGCTCAGCCGTAGAGCACTTATCCAGCATTCCCTGCTCCAAATTGAGAGAGATGGACTGAGAAAATGAGAAAGAGAAGAGAAAACACCGGAGAGAAGACAGCCCAGTGAAGACCAAGGCAGAGACTGGAGTGATGCGGCCACAAACCAAGGAACCCTGGGAACCACCAACAGCTGGGAGCCAGAAGAACTCCCTGAAGCCTCCAGAGGGCGCTCTGCTGCTGTGACTTCAGACCTCTAGAGCTGCCAGATATAATAGGTTTCTGTGCCCCTAGGCAAAGGTACTTTTGTTACAACAGCCGCTGTACACTCATACCTACTATGCGTTTATTTCAGGGAAATTGTTCACTTCTACACGGTGCTCATGTTCTACTTACAATGCAGTCCCTGTGCCTTGGTCTTCTTGTATTTTATTTCAATACTGCTTATTTTCTCTTGTTTTGGAAAGTGCAAGAAATTTCTTTGCTGTTGCAGTACACCCAGCAGAGGGCCCACTGCCAGCCACTGCCACGTGCAGTGACTGGGTGATCAACGCACTTGATGCCCAGCTCCCATTAACATCTACCCAGCAACCTAGGTGCAGAGGGGAGAGTATCCTGCCCAGGGTCATCAGTTGAAGAGGGGCAGAGACTGGTTCAGTCCCAAAGCTTGAGTTCTACCCTCCTGTCAGGGAATAGATCTTCAATCCCTTATGCAAAATCCTCGGGGATAATAAACCTTGGCACTGGGAATGTTTCCCCTTTCTTTTTTTATTTTGAGGCAGGGTCTTGCTAAGTTGTCCAGGCCAGACTTGACTCATGATCCTCCTGCCTCTGCCTCCCGAGTAGCTGGAACTACTATGATTGCAACCATGGAGCCAGATAAAACTTTCTGGGTTTTGGCAGGGGGAATGGAACCCAAGGACCTGTGCGTGCTAGGCAAGTCTCTGTCACTGAGTTGTACCCCTAGCCCTGGGATTGGGGGTTTTTGTATCCCAGGAAGATAACTGGGGGAATGCTTTCTGTACTGCAGGGTGTCCCTGGGGGCCTGGACATTCTGTAAGTGAAGGCATAAATGAGGATAAAAAAGAATAATTGACCATGGGGAAGAGCCTGGCTAAGTGCAGCAGAGATGGCCCCCTACTGGAGTGTTGAGACCACGCTTAGGAAAAAAAGTGGGTTTCCAAAGCCAAAGGGGATGGGGGGGGGTGCTGTGGGAAGAACTGGATGAGGTTATGAGTGTAGGGTGCTTAGTCAGGGCTTAGTTTACCTGGTAAAATGGAGGGGTCGAAGGAGAGGGGAGGTGGAAAGAGGAAGAGGGGGAGGGGAAGGGAAGAGGAAGGGATGGCGGGGAGGAAGTGGGTAAGAGAAGAGGGAATTAGGGTAAAGGGAACTAGGGAAGAAAGAGAAGGAAGGATAAGTTCCAGTAGGTGGTAATGAGGCAGAGGTAAAAAGGGAGGAATAGGAGGGGAGGAGAGACAGCTCGCTCCCAACCCATATTTGCAATCTCAGCACCAAGCCAGTGCGGCCAGCTCTGGTTCGGTGCTCACTTTCTTTACCTGTAAAGTGGGTGTGATTGCAATAAGCATTCTGGCAGGGCAGGAGTGCGGCTGCAGAGACAGGTCATTGCTGATCCCTGGCTTGAGAAAGTAGTTTCGGCCAGCGGCTGGCTCTGGGCCTGTGCTCCGGATCTGCTTCCTCGCCCCCCATTCCACCCACCCTGGGCTGCTGGCAGAAACCAATGGCAGCTGGAGTGGGGGTGGGGTGAGCGCCTGCCCAGCCCTGTTCTCAAAGTGGTGCTGGAAGCAGGCCCTGGCCACCTCCCAAAGACAGCGCTGGGAAGGTCGGCCAAGCAGGGCAGAAAACAAGCAGGGGTGGAGTGGGCAGGGGGGCACAGAGGGGGAACTTGATGGGAGGGCCCCAAGGCAGAGGCACACATGGACACAGAGCAGTGAGACGAGCCAGGAGTTGGCCAGAAACAGAAGCCCCTGAAGGGACCCACCATCTGGAGCTAAGTTGAGGACCCCTGCCTCGGCCTCACAGTCTGCCGGCCTCTTGCCTGAGCTTCTGGAAGCCCACGAAGGAGCAGCCAAGTCCGGGGGTCTGCAAGTGGCTTCAGGTCAGCCAGGGAATAGGGTTGTGGACATCCAGGTCAGTACCTCCCCACGCCTGGTCAGAAAAAGGGCTTTGGAGCCTCTAGGTAAGCATTTAGGACTCTGGGGTGCAAACAAGACCTAGTTGGGCCTCCTGGGAGTATGATTAGGAAGGATGAGAACCTGGTGTGTGGATATTGTCCTCCCCAGGCTCCAGGGGTGTGACACTGAGAACTGACAAGGCTTTGGAGTGTGGATTTAGGGTTAGCTGGGTCCTTGATCCACTTTTGAAACTGAGGCGGGTTTCGACTTGGAAACTTCTGCGCCCTAGGGTGTTAGTTTAGCAATCCTCCGGTTCCTAGAATGCGTGTTTAGTATCGAAGAGGCTTTGGGACTTGGACTTGGGGTATGGGGTAAGACTCTAGGGCAAGCGGCCCGGGTGTGAGCAGGGAGTTTCTGGTCCCCGGGACAACCTTGAATGCCATCTAGGGCTCGGCCCGGCGCGCCCGAGAGCCACGCCCCTGCCTGCGGGACCCACGTGCTTTCTAAGCACGCAGCCGAATGGGAGGGGCGAAGCCTGGTTGCCATGGAGCAGTGGCAAGCTTCGGCGGGCCGTTCTAGCACCGCTGGTCTCGTTGGCTGCTGGCTCTCTAGCTCGGGGGATCTCTCTCTATGGTCATGGCCTCCGGAAGGGGCCAGCCTCCGCTATGCGGGATGAGGGGCTAAAACCTGGACAGGTGGGAAGAAGGGTGTGGGGCGGGGCTTAGGTGCTAAGTGGGCAGGAGTGAGGCGCCTTTCTAGAGTGGTGACTAAGACAAGGCTTGGGGGTGGGGCCGGTGGCCAGAACTGAACCTGGGCCTGGGCACGCAGGCCAGGTCAGAAGCTGGGGACGCGGCTCGAGCTGACCGGGAGGGCCGGGGTCTGGAGCGTGTGCTTAGGGGCCGGAGCACAGGCCTAACTCGGGGTGGAGCCTGGCTTAGAGGGGGCGGGGCTCCGCCTGAGACTTGCGCTTATGGGCGGAGCTGGAGGCTTAACTTGGGGCCGGGGGCCGGAGCGCGGTGAAAAAGTGGGTAGAGGCGGGACCTGGAGGAAAACTCAGCGTCCGAGATGGGCAGGCTGGGGGACAGAGGATAGGGGTAGGTCATGGCCTGGGGACGGGACCTGGACGAATGACTAGGAAGGGACTAGGTCTGTGGTCGGGAACAAAGCGGAGCCAGCTTCGAGGGCTAAATCTTGGGGATGGAGCGTGGGTTTAAGGTCTTGCCTCAAAGTCAAGGCATGGGGCGGGGCCTGACAAGGACTGACGCTCTGGAAATATTGGGCCTGGGGGAGGGTCCCGATACAATGATTGGCAGGGAGGCGGAGCCCCGGCCTGGGGGTGGTACCTATCAGGGACGTAGCCAACCACAGGCTTGAGGGCGGGGCCTGACTTGTGAACGCGTTCCCGAGGAGGGGGCGGGACTTGGCTCGGAGTTCCAGGCTGGGCTGGCCGTGGGCGGAGCCAGGGTCTGGGGGCGGAGCTCGGTCTGGGGTGGGGCATGGCGGCAGGAGGCGGGGCCCCAGCGGCCAGCCCCCTCAGCGCTCTCCGCTTCCTAGGATGCGGGCTCCGGGTGCAGGCACGGCCTCCCTGGCCTCGCTGGCGCTGCTGTGGCTGCTGGGGCTACCGTGGACCTGGAGCGCAGCGGCGGCGTTCGGTGTGTACGTGGGCGGCGGCGGCTGGCGTTTCCTGCGCATTGTCTGCAAGACGGCGAGGCGGGACCTCTTGTGAGTGTGGTCTGGGCCGGGCAGGTATGGGGGCGGGGCTGCGCGGCCCGGGGCGGGTTGAGGAGGTAGCGGGTGGTGTGCGGGCCCGGGTAGGGCTGAGAGGGCTTAGAAACTGGGGACGGGACCCGGGCCGTATGGGCAGGGCTAGGGGCGGGGCCGGGGCTTGAAGGGGCGCCTGGTCGGGGGGTCTTTGAGAAGAACAGCGGAGAGATTGGGAATCTTTGGAGGGAGATGAGTATGTTCAAAGACGATTGGAGCTTTGGGGACTGCTTAGGAGACTTTTGGGGACCCCAGTGACAACCTTTGGGCCTCTGGGCAGCTAGCTGGTGGAAGTCTGAGGGTCTCTGTGGGACTGTGGTGACTGAGAGACTTCTGGGAGCTGTCAGAGACTCTGATAGGGTCCTGAGGGCTCATAGGGGCAACTCAGTGGTCTCTGGGGGCTGCACAACCTCTTGGGGTCTGCTTAGGGCTGGGGATAAAGGGGCTACTCCCGAAATTTGTAAAGGCCTTCCAAGGTCTTCAGAGGTTCCTCTTTAGGTTTCTTTGTGGTTGGGAAGCATTTTGAGAGTTTGGGATCTGTGTGGAGCTTTGGGTGTTGTTCAGGGACTGTGGGGGGGGGGGTCACTGTATATTCCAGTACTTGCTTGGGGGTCTCTGGAGACTGCCTTGGGGGTATCTCTCAGGATTTTGCTCAAAGGGGCTACTGAGGATCATCCTGGGTCAAAAACAGGCATTGCTGGGGGTTCCCCTGTGAGTAGATCTCAGGAACCATCCCCATGTGGTGTAGGCGAGGACCTGCCCTGTGCTGGGCTGGCCTTCACAGGCTCCTGGCAGGGGGGTGGGCACACTGAACCAAGGGAGAAGAAACAGGTTCAGGAAGGGGCAGGGATGTGGTGGAGTTGGGAAGGCTCCTGTGCAGGCTGACTGGTTCCAAACTTTCTAAAACCTGTCCTTTCTTCTCTAATGTCATGGTCCCACCTCTTCCCCACCACCCCTCAGTTTTAAAAAATATTTTTTTAGTCGTTGATAGACCTTTACTTATTTATTTATATGTGGTGCTGAGTACAAACCCCATGCCTCACACATGCTAGGCAAGCGCTCAACCACTGAGCCAGAACCCCAGCCCGCCTTGGTCATCTTGACATCTCACACACCCTCCTTGTCCCCTCATCCTCTGTAGGAGAAAGACAACTTTGGCTGGGTGCTCAAGGTCCTGCCAGCCTGCCTCTGCCTGCCCACCACTCCCCACTCCCTGTGTTCACTTGGTCCCCAAAGCAGCTTGCCTGAGCAGACCCAGGCTGCCTCCTCTGGATGGGACATTTGGGTCCTCCTTTTGCCTGGCGATACCATATGACACTCTCCCAGGGAGCCCCTGCTGGGTTTTTCTACTCAGTACGCTCAGTGGCTCCTTGTTCTGAGAGTCTAAACCATGCTCCTGAGCATGGCCCAAGAGTCCCCTACCCCTGCTCCCCGCCCTAGCCCTCTCTCGGTCCCCCTCGGGCTAGTTTGTGTCCTTGTACTTGCTGAATAACTCAGCCTGGGTCCCAGCCCAGGGCTTTTGCCCTTGCCTGATGGCCCTCCCTCTGCTCTTGATTTTTTCTTATGCTGTGGTTTAAATGTCCTGTCCTCAGATGCTGTCTCTAGCCCTCCCCACCTGTCATTTTTGGCAGAATGACCGACACTCCTAAGTGCTCTTGTTGTGCCAGGCCAGGGGATGTCTGAGCACTTCCCAGGTGTGACTTTATAAAGCTCTCCCAGCAGCCCGTGAGGCGGTGCTGTCCCACCTTAAACACGAGCAAACCGCAGCACAGCTTGGCTGTGTAGCTTGTCCAGCGTCACGTGGGTGGCAACTAGCAGGAGCAGGCAGTGTGGCTCTGAGGCTTGCCTGGGAACTCCCAGCAGCATCGGTATTTGTAGTTCTCTCACGCGCCTGCTTACCCGTCCTCTGATCATCCGGTTTCTCTCCCCGGCTAGACTGTAGGCCCTGAGGGACAGAGATGGAGGTCATGTCTGTCTCCCCAGAGCCCGGAGCAGGGTCCACTCCATGTCCCTGACATGGCTTGGCACAGTCGGCCGTTGAAGAGCCTTGAGGATCCCACTGATCGCCGCCTCCTGCTCTTCCTGCCCTGGGGGGTCCCTCTCAGTCCAGCGCACAGCATTTCTGAGGTTAGGTCATAAAAAGACAGTGGCCTCCGACTCGGGTGCCATTTCTTGGCTCGCTTGCTCTGAGGGATGCCAGCTGCCCTGTCGTCTGGACAGGCCCATATGAGTGAGTTTCATGTGGATTGTCTCCCAGTGAAGCCCGGGGAGGCCAAAGGCCCAGACTCCACCTCAGTGGCAGCTTCCTGAGATACCCTGAGCCAGAACCACTCAATTAAGCTCAATTAACCCAGGAGTGCTCTGCCACAAGCCTCACCCCCAGCCCTTGTTATTTTTTTAGTTTGAGACGGGGCCTTGCTAAGTTGCTGAAGTTCTCACTAAGTTGTCCAGGCTGGCCTCAAACTTGTGATCTTCTTGCTTCGGTCACCCGAATAGCTGAGATTCTAGGTGGGAGCCACCGCACTTGGCCTGCTCCTAGATTTTTGATCCATGGATCTATGAGACAATGACCGTTGTTTGTAGCTGCTAATTTGGGGGGGTCATTTGTTCTACAGCAGTAGCTCACTAATGCAGCTTGTCAAATAGCCCTTCCCCTGTACCAGGTCTTGTTCTCACAACCCTTTAAGGAAAGCATGCTGACTAATCCCATTTTTCAGGTGGGCAGGCCAAGGCAAAGAGAGCTGAAACCATTTTCTTGGGAACACACAGCCAGGGAGGGGAATCTGAGCCTTTGGCCACCATGCCATGCTGAATTTAGACTCTGGTTCAGGAACACGTGAGCACCCTGCCCCGTTCTCCCGCCTCACCCCGTATTTGCTTCATAAAATCTGGTCGCGTTTATCCTTGCTGGTGTCTTCGTGCACTGGAGTCCTGGGACTCAGGATGAAAAGAGCAGAAGGACAAGAAGAGGCCCTGGGAAGGGCCCAGAGCTGGACAGTGGTCTCTTTGTCCACAGGGTTGGGGTGGCTTGGGCTGCTGCCCAACGGGGCCACCCCAGCATGTGGCTGGAACAAAGCACCGGAATCCACTGCCTGCCCATGTGGGCGTCCTTGAGAGACACCAAGCGGCAGTGCCGAGGGCAGCAGGGGACAGGCTGAGAGTGCACTTGTAACCACTGCTGTTCCCGTGTTCAGCCTGGGCATGACCAGCTGTGGCCTCAGTTCCTGTTTCTAGCTGTGCCACTTATAGGAAGACCCGCAGGGGTTGCTTCCTCTGGCTGCTGCCTCGCTGGTGGCCCTCTGCCCGTGGCTCTGACACTTGTACCCCCCATGGGGGTTCTCTTACAGGAAGACCTTAGAGCAGGGCCAGGCACATAGTAGGTGCTCAGATGTAGGGTGGGGTCAGCAGCTTGGTGGCTGGAGCCCGAGGGTCTGGCTGTGGACGCAGCTCTTCCCTTGCTGACCTGTCGCATCCCAGTTGCTTCAATCGGAGATGAAATCTGGTGTTGGAGTAGTCCTTCAGGTGCATGCATTAGCACCTGCTGTGTACCTCACGGTTCCTGGTATCCCGTGAGCACTTGATAAATGTTTGGCGGTAAGTCTGCAGGGGAACAGAGGGACCCTGTAAGCAAGGTTTGGCTCTGGGTTGTTGTGTCCCAATGTGCTGGGTTACCTCAGGCATGTTAATTCACCTTTCTGAGCCCCAGCTCAACCATCATCTGATACATAGCCCCCTACTTTGGAGGCTGGCTATGAGAGTAGCTCAGTGTTTGCATACAGTTGGTGCTCAGTAATGCAGAGGAAGATCACCTTAGTTATTCTTTTAGTTGCACAGATGTGCAGTGTTCTTGCTGCTGAGGTGACCCCCTATTAATTCTGGCTCTCTGTGGTGGTCTTGGTGTTCATCCTGGAACTTAGCAGGGGCTCCATGGCACAGACCCTGCTGTACCACTGTCCAGCAAGACGTGGTCCTTGTGCCCAAGCCTCCCAGGCTCTGACCACAGGGTGGATGTAGAAATAGTCAACGTTTAATGTTTTACATTTTTGTTTTATTTATTGTAACACAGTAGTCTCGCCCCTCGTCCATGGTTTTGCTTTAGGTGGCTTTCGTGACCCACATTAGTCTGAAAATATTAGTAGTTGTCTGACACTTTTAAAAGAGGCCACATTCGGGCTAGAGGTCTGGCTTAGTGGTGGAGCGCTTGCCCAGCATGTGCGAGGCCCCGGGTTCCATCCCCAGCACCCCCAACCCCTCCCCAAAGAGACCATATTCACATAGCTTTTATTACCGTTGCAAGTTGTCCTGTGTTTTACTTTATTTTGAGGCACTGGGGATTGACCCAAGGGCACTGACCACTGAACTATAGTCTGCAGCCTTTTTACTTTATGTAAATGTGTTTCTTGTTTTGAGACAGGGCCCTGCTAAGTTGCCTGACAGATGCATTTACTCCACAAGGCACCTTCCTGAGGGTAGGGACACTAGACAGTGCTTTGGTACTGTGCTTGGGGCCCCCTTTCAACAACAAGATCAGCAGCAAGATAACACAGAAATGAAGACAAAGGTGACACTAAGCTGACCATAAAAGGGGCGCTGAGCATGACAGCTGAAATAAGGCAGCGCTGCTTCCCTGTCCAGCCGCAGCCAGGAACATGCTCACAGCCACTCAGACTTTCTCCCCGTAGCACGTGTCTGCAGGAGACTGGGAAATCTCTGTGAGTCTGCATTTTAAATAAGGATTTGAAAATAAGGAATCCATGAATAATGAGGATTAACTGTATGTCATAATTTGGGTTTGATGATAAGAATGTCCTCATTTTAATTCTAACAGTATTCTAAACTCATCATCCATTGGGGTGGGAGTGTTGCTCAGTCATAGAGAATATGCTTAGCATGTGCAAGGCCCTGAGTTCGGTCCCCAGCATAAGAACAGACAAACAAACTGAACCACTTAGTATACTATG